CCAAAGAGGGGCTGCAGAAGGACCATGCCTCTGATTTCCAGGTACGGGCTTCTTCCCATGTCCGCCACAGCTGCCGCCGCTTTATTTGCCGCCCCGTTTCCTCCTGCTTTAACGGAGCAAACCCCAACCCCCTACGTAACCTCCCTCCTGCCTCTCCAGAACAAAACCCAAACTAACACCTCGCTGCATGCCAGTGGCACCGGGGACAAGGTAGGACTCTGCTCCAACAGAGTGTGCCCAGGGCAGGAGGCGGCGGGCATCCTGGTGCATCCCGGCACGGGCTGGCTGTGCTGAGGCTGCCCTGCCCACGGCCAGGGGCTCTCGGGTGCGATCCCACCTTAGCAGGCGATGACATTTCAGCTGCTTTCCACCAGCTCAGCCCAACGTCCCCAGCTCGGAAGCTCTTTGCTTATGGGGGATGAGCTGGGTGGGAGGAGAGCAGCCTGCAGCCTCCTGAAAGCAGCCCAAATTGCGGGGACCCCAGCTGCAAGAAGCCTCAGCCCCCAACGGTACCCAGGCAGGGTAATTTGGAGAGCAAAGGCTCCTGGGCAAATCTGCATCTGATGGGGAGCACCTTTGGAGCAGCGGAGAGCAGCTCATGCCCTGCCGTCCCTCTCCTCTCTGGGGGGGCCAGCTCACGCCAGGGGCCAGGGATGTCAATAGTGGTTGGGGCTGCCAGCACAAGCCCCTTTCTGGAGCACACTCGCTTGTTCAGAGTCCTATTTTTCTGCATGTGGTCCCACCAGCCCCAGGTCCCAGTCTCCCCCAGTCACTGCATGGCACCGTAACTGGTGTTTGCACATTTTTTCCCTCTTTCTCTCTTTTTTCCCCTTTCCCCAAACAATCCAGGCCACGTGTCTTCTCATCCTGTGTTTCCTTTTGGTTTCCGCATTGTCTCCTGCCATGGTGATGAAGCTCCTTCTCCTCATCATCCTTTTTGTTGTCTTGTAGTTCTTTACTGTTTCGGAGACCCATTGTTTTGTTTTCTGGCTTTTTTTTCTTCCCGCTCTTTTGGTTTGTTCTCATTAACTTGCCCACGCATGCAGCAGCCTGATTTTAGGGACGCCGACCCTTACCGCATCCCCCACGCCAAGGACACGGACCCCGCGCATCCCCGGAGCTACAAAACCTGCCGGCCTGAGGAGAACGACTCCTACGCCACTGAGGTACGACGCAGGCAGTGAGCCGTGTCCCCTCAGCCGGCGGGGTTGGGGACAGGGCTATGGGGACGGGGCTGATCCTCTTGAGAGCTGGGGACAAGGGAAGCTGCAGACCCCCATTGGGGAGGGACACGGGGAGGCGCGGCCAGGTGCAGCCCACTGTCCCCATCCCCTCCCCGGGCCATTGCAGATGAAGGAGCTGCAGCTGGTGCTGTCGGAGGCCAACGAGAGCCTGCGGGGACTGCAGGAGCAGCTCTCACAAGAGAGGCAGCTGAGGAAGGATGAGGTGGACAACTTCTCACAGAAGATCTGCCAGGTGAGTAGGCAGCAGCCCCGATCCCTGGGATACAGGTGTCCCCACGCCCACGGCTGTGTCACCTCCAGCCGCAGGCTGATGACCCACTTGGGGACCCGGGTGTCATGCAGGACCACATACAGCATGTCGCAACTTCAAGGGGCACAGAGGCTGAGCACACTCCTCCTTGCACATGAGTGTGCAGCCATGCAGGGCTTCCACCCATGGTGATGCCTCGATGGCACCACTGTCCCCAGTACGCTGCCAGGGCGTTGCAGCTCTCCAGGGGTGTTAAATATGGGGCCAGCACCAGGCTCAGCCCAGACTCTGGGGTGGAGGCACCACACTGCTGCCGCCAGCCCCTGTCTCAGAGCCCGCATGTCTCTCTGCAGCTGAAGGAGGACCACCAGAAAGCGCTGCTGCGGCGGGAGTTCGAGCTGCAGAGCCTGAACCTGCAGAGGCGGCTGGAGCAGAAGTTCTGGAGCCAGGAGAAGAACCTGCTGGTGCAGGAGTCACAGCAGTTCAGGCAGAGCTTCCTCCTGCTCTTCATGAAGCTCAAGTGGTTCCTCAAGCGCTGGCGCCAGGGCAAGATGGTGCACAGCGAGGGCGAGGACTTTTTGGAGGTACTGTGGGCTGAGGGGCTCCCACCTGCCGTGGAGGGGGGGCCATGCTGTCGGGCATCCCCAGGGCTGTCCCTCATGCCTACATGTCCCACCCAGGCCTGCTTGGGTGTCCCCCATCCCTGGCCGTGGGCTGTGGGTCCCCTCACCCCCCCAGCCGTGGTGTCTCCCACAGGTGAACAGCATGAAGGAGCTGTACCTGCTGCTGGAGGAGGAGGAGATAGCCCCACAGCAGCAGGCCGACAACAAGACGTGCGCTGGGGACGCCTGGACCCCCAACACGGTGAGCGAGGCCCTCACGAGCCCAGGGGGTGGGCAGGATCAGCCCCTGCTGCGGCTGCATGGCATGGGGTGACGGCTCCTCTCGGGGTGCATGGCTGGGAGGGGATGCTCCCCGCTGGCATGTCACCCCCAGGGGTGGTCCCCTGCCCTGGTGGCACCCCCTGTCCCTCACCCCAGGGGTGAGCAGCCTGCGGGGCTGGGTTGCAGAGAGGGCAGCTCCCACAGGGTCCCACCCTGTTGGGTGCCCTCCATCGCGGGGCCCCAGCTCCCTCCGCTCACCCCCGATCCCCCGGCAGCCCAACGAGTGCATCAAGACACTGGCGGACATGAAGGTGACCCTGAAGGAGCTGTGCACAGAGCTGCGGGAGGAGCGGCACGGCGCCAGCGAGCTGCAGCAGCAGTTCACCAAGGCCAAGGCTGCCTGGGAGATGGAGCGCGCCGAGCTCAAGTGCCATATCACCCAGGTGGGAGCCCCAGGCCTGGCAGCTCTCCCCCTTGCCTGGTGGGGATGTGGGGCTGGGGGGCTGCCTGCGCCGTGTGCCAAGCACTGGCTGTTGGACAGGGCTGGGAGGCAGGGTGGCACTGTGGGAATCTCAATTAGCAGCCGCTCCAGCAGGCGAGTTTCTATAGCAACGGGGCTGGCATGAAAATCTGACTGTGGAGCAGCAGAGGATGCTCTTTATTCCTCCACTGGGTTTGTCTGGGGCGGGCGAGATGGTACCGGGGCTCAGCATCCTTCCCCAGGACAGGCATCTGGGAGCGGCATCAGAGCCCTCCTCTCCTCCCCTGGGTCACGGCGCAGGTGGGGGCTCTGCACCCCCGTAGATGCTGCAAGAGGGATCTATGGCTGTGGGGAGGGCAGCCTCGGCACTGGGGGAAGCTCCTGCCTGCAGAAGCAGTCCCATCAGTCTCCCAGCCCTGCCCTCACAGTGATGAGGGTTTTCCGCTCCCTCGCACTGTGCTGGCAGCAGCCTGTGGCCGTACATCAGCGCCGCTCCCCAGAGCGGGTGCCAGCACCTTCCAGGCAGGATTTCTCCAGGCAGAGCTCAGCGGTGGTCCCCAATTCCCCTCTCTCAACCCCAAAAGAGAGCAGAGCTCTCACGGTGGCAGCACCCCAGTTTCAGGTGCCTTCCTGGCTGCCAGCAGCAGCAGCATGCTCTGGCTCTGCTCTGCCAGCCCTGCAGGTGATGCTGCCCCTCTACAGGAGCCGGGTCCAGCAGGCAGGATTGCAGGCAGAGCATGGCCGAGCAGGCAGGACATTCAGCCCGTGTCCCACTGGGTGACCGTCTGACGAGCCGTCTGGCATGACGTGGCTGCAAGCCAGGGCTGGCTGTGCCCACGGGCGAGCCATGCTGTGCAACAAGGCCTTGGGGACACGCTTATTGCCCGACCTGGGCAGCATGGGACCTGCACTGGGAACCGGGATGCCCGCAGCCTTGCCCCTTTGCTGGGGTTGTCCAGCACCATGCTGGAGCCATGGGTCCCTCACAGCCACCAATGTGTTCCTGCAGCTGGAGTCGAAAGCAGGCAAAGGGATTGCAGAGCGCGCGCTGCCGGACTGGAAGGTGGCATTGAAGAGGGAGCGTGAGGAGCACCAGCATCTCCTAGCCGAGTCCTACAGTGCTGTCATGGACCTCACCAAGCAGCTGCAGATCAGCGAGAGGAACTGGAACCAGGAGAAGGTGGAGCTGCTGGCCCGCTTCAAGGAGGAGCAGCAGCAGGCAGAGCAGCAAGCAAAGGACCTGCAGAACAAAATCAACCAGGTATGGTGTCCCACATCGTGAATGTGTCCTCCAGCCTCTGCCTCCTGCCCCCCCTGTGTGCCCCAAGAGTGTTTGCATGCTCTTGGGGCACGCACCAGGGGCAAGCGGCAAATGCTTTTGCTTGCCCAGAGGGGCACGTGTTGCACACGTTGAGTGACCGACACATTCTCCAGTTGCAGAAAGGAGCCAGCCCATGGGCATTGAAGCATTCTGAAATGGAGAAGCATGGCAGCAACTGGAAAGAGGTGGGCAAGAGAAGGCAGAGGGCTCTCGGGGTGCTCGTTGGGCTCAGGTCTCTGCTAAGGGTTAGATGGGAGGTCATGTGAACCCCAAATAATACCCCCTTGAACAGCAAATGAGGCTGCAAAGGGGAGCACCAGGGATTGGGGAGAGGGTGGAGAGCATGGCTGAACCCCAAGGGCTTCAGTGGAGTTATAAAAAGTTGATTTAGAATACATGTGGGTACAGTGAGCCCCACATAGCCCTGGGAATGGGATGCCAGGCCTGGGTGCATGGGGGAAGGTGGTAGTGCTGGAGAGGAGCAGGGTGCAGCCCCTGCTCCAGCCCATCTGCGTACTTTGGTCCTGTGCTTGCTGACACCAGAGCTTTCTTCTGTGTCCTCCTAGGCTCTCAATGAAAAAATCACAGACAAAGAGACAATCTCTGAAGCAGAAGCCAAGGGAACCAACCTCAAAAGGTGAGTGCGCTGGTGCCTGCATGGTCCCCAGGGCACAGAGGAGGCTGCGCGGGGCTGTCCCTGGGCTTGGCAGCCCCAGCAACCGGGGGGAGATGCAGCCATGGTCCAGGGTTGTCCTGGAGGCCAAGGGCTCCAATGAAGAGCAGGACTGTGTGCCCAGGAGGGTCCCGTTGGGGTAGGAGTGGGGTGCCTCCAGCCGTTCCCCAACCCGCTGCCCTGTCCCCTTGTAAGCCCTGTTCTCTCTTCTCCCACAGGACCAAGTCCGTTTCCTCCATGTCAGAGTTTGAAAGCTTGCTCGACTGTTCTCCCTACCTCCCTGGAAAGACTGCGCCGGGGCTGGGCGACCATTCCCGGGGCAAAAAGGCATCCACAGCCACCCAGCTGCTGCCCAACGGGATCCGGGACAGCGCCGGTGTTCCTCCCTCAAACTGTACATATGTGAATATTGAGCAACCTGCCCCCGACAGCCTGGCCAAGGAGAAGCTGGGCATCTCTTCCTGGGACTACTCGCGAACAAGCAGCCTCTCTGGGCACGACCCAGCCCAGAAGCAAATGCAGAGGAGCTACACAGCGCCCGACAAGACGGGGATCCGTATCTACTACAGCCCGCCAGTGGTGCGGCGGCTGGAGGCACCTCTGGTGCACAACAAGGAGGGGAAGATCATGATCGAACCCGGTTTCTTGTTCACCATGGCCAAGCCGAAGGAGCCGGAGGAGTCAGCCAGCGCTGAGAGCACCTACAGCCAGTGCTGGGCAGCAGGGGCGGGGGAGGCCGCCCAGCCCGGAGAGCACCTCCAGCCAGTGGCTGTGCAACTTCTCCAAGCAGCAGCGGGAGCTGCTGGACAGTGGCACGGTGGAGAGCGTGGTGCCATCAGTGCCCCGCTTCCCCCCATCGCTGCACGACCTGGAGATCTCCGGCAACATGAGCGACGACATGAAGGAGATCACCACATGCGTGCGGCAGGCGATCCGCGCCAGCTCACTGGAGAGGAAGGTGAAAAGCGCCTCCAGCCAGACAGTGGGGCTGGCCCACGTGGGGACGCAGACCATCCAGACGGTGAGCGTCGGCTTGCAGACTGACCTGCCACGTGGCAGCAGCGTGCACGGCAAGAGCTGGTCCCCACGCAGCTCCTCCCTTGTGTCTGTGCGCAGCAAGCAGATCTCCTCCTCCCTGGATAAGGTCCACTCCAGGATCGAGCGGCCATGCTGCTCCCCAAAATATGGCTCTCCAAAGCTCCAGAGGAGGTCTTCCTCCAAGCTGGACGCCTCCAAGGACAGGAGCCTCTGGAACCTGCACCAGAGCAAGCAGAATGGCTCTGCCTGGGCCCGCTCCACCACCACCCGTGACAGCCCCGTCCTCAGCAATATCAATGACGGCTTGTCCAGCTTGTTCAGCGTGGTGGAGCACGCAGGCAGCACTGAGTCCATCTGGAAGCCGGGCTGCCCCGAGAGCAGCCGGACCAAGCCTGAAGCACCCAAGTACGGCCTCGTGCAGGAGTTCTTCAGGAATGTCTGCGGGCGGGCGCAAAGCCCCACTGCCCCCCCGGAGAAGAAGGAGGCCACGGGGGAGGAGGGCAGCAAGAGAGCTGAGCACCCCAGCCCAGCGACCCACCACCCAGCCGAAAACATCTCCCGTGTCTTGAACAAGAAAGTCCTCAAGCAGAGCAGCTGCGAGGACCCCAAACCCTCGTCCCCCGGCCAGGGGAGTAAGGACGCAGCCCTGCGGGACCCCGACCTCATCTCGGCCATAGCCAGCGAGGTAACGAGGCAGGGTGCCCCCTGGGGTGTCCCGCCATGGCAGGGGACAGGGTCTGGTGCACAACAAGGAGGGGAAGATCATGATCGAACCCGGTTTCTTGTTCACCATGGCCAAGCCGAAGGAGCCGGAGGAGTCAGCCAGCACTGAGAGCACCTACAGCCAGTGGCTGTGCAACTTCTCCAAGCAGCAGCGGGAGCTGCTGGACAGTGGCACGGTGGAGAGCGTGGTGCCATCAGTGCCCCGCTTCCCCCCATCGCTGCACGACCTGGAGATCTCCGGCAACATGAGCGACGACATGAAGGAGATCACCAACTGCGTGAGCAGCGGGAGCTGCTGGACAGTGGCACGGTGGAGAGCGTGGTGCCATCAGTGCCCCGCTTCCCCCCATCGCTGCACGACCTGGAGATCTCCGGCAACATGAGCGACGACATGAAGGAGATCACCAACTGCGTGCGGCAGGCCATCCGCTCCAGCTCGCTGGAGAGGAAGGTGAAAAGCGCCTCCAGCCAGACAGTGGGGCTGGCCCACGTGGGGACGCAGACCATCCAGACGGTGAGCGTCGGCTTGCAGGCTGACCTGCCACCGGGCAGCCCCGCG